CAGAAGTAGAAAAATGGTGGCCTGGCTACATTCTTTTTGTGACCCCAAACCTTAAAAGGTAGAATGAAAAATTTGGACACTTTTTTTTGCACTTTTTGGAGGTGGGGTATTAAAGGGGAAAATGCTAGCTTTGACCTTGAAGATGCGAAAGGCCCCCATTTTACCCTTTATACCTCTGACCTCAATCCCTTGTGAAGTACAGCCCCCCCCCTACAAATCATGCAGAGAGAAGTTGTCTGTCCCTGCTGTAGGGTAGGGCCTGGAGGGAAAGACGCTTTTGCTAAACTGATGTCTCTAACATAGTCTTTTCTTTTGGAAGCCCCACATTCACCTTAATCTCTCTCTCAAGGTGGGAGCATTACATTCACTGCTGTAGTGGCAAGTGAAAGCTTGCTGAAGAAACCTACAGTGAAATGGTTCAAGGGAAAGTGGATGGACCTGGGAAGCAAAGTGGGAAAACACCTCCAGCTTCATGAGAGTTATGACCGAACCAACAAGGTACAACTATCATAAAAAAAACTTGACCTCTCCACCTTTTTATATTTTGGTGGAAGCAGCATAATCATAACAATAACATCTCTCTTAGACAGAAATATCAAGAATTATATATAGTTACTGTTTAATCATCTTCGGCCAAAAAATGCTGTTTACAACCTCTTGCTTAAACTGTACTGAATAAGAGCTAGTAAAATTTACTTTAGATGTCAATTGCAACTCAATGTTATGCATCTTCTCCCAGTGCACAATATGTACCAATTAAGAAAGTACCTTGTACATCTAGGTCAGAAAAAGGATGTGAAAAGTACTTCTTAATATCTGTTCTTCCTGAATGACTGAACCTTACAGATGAAGAATGGATAATCTTTTGGGAATTAACCTTTTTTTAAAAAAAAAAAATCAAACAGAGTCTTTCCAGGGACTTGTTTTTCTTTTTCAGTTTTAAGAGTACTAAACCTGTCCAAAAGCTTCTTGTATTTCATCTCTTTCTATTGCAGCTAAAGATCCTAAAGATAGAGAGGAGAATGTGCCTTTTCTGGTTAGCTTAGAATAGATGGATCTACGTAGAATATGGTAGGATTCAGAGAGTATAATAGAATAAAGAATGAGTATATTATATATGTCAAGATAAATTTGTAGATATTGAGGATCTCACTGGGGTTCCTAAGCAAGTTAAGAAGATGTTCATAAGTTCTTACGACAAAATATTTGGTAGAAGGAAAATGGTGGGGAAAAAAGAAATAAGAACTTTTCCATTAGGAGAAGGTAAAAGATAAAGAATCTCTCAAGCTGAGGTTGACTCCTGGGGATTCACTGAGAAATAGTGATTCCATATGTACAGTATATTATAAAGTACAAGAGTATTATTGGGCAGTGCAGATAGAAGAGGAACACTTAGTTAATAGCATTCAAATGTAAGTGTCTATCTCCTAAAAGGACCTAATTATTTATTTCATTCCTTTCAAGGTTTATGTCTTTGAAATGAACATTATTGATGCAAAACCAACTTATGCGGGGGGATATCGATGTGAGGTGGCTACAAAGGACAAATTTGATAGCTGTAATTTTACCCTGGTTGTCCATGGTAAGGCATTATGTTTGTATTATTATCAAGATGTTTATATTTTGCTAGCATAATTATTACTATTTCATATTGAATAATGTTTCTTGTGTAAGGCATGCACTGGGATAAAACTCATATCAAATTAAAATATGTGCAAAATAGGATTTTGGAGACAGGGCAACAGGGAAATGACAAAATTACTTTTAAATTATTTATGTATTTAATTTTGGTCTCTCATTTTCACATGTGTTTACATATAAGTCAGTTTCACTGTAGTTCCACATTAATTTTTATTTTTTAAAAAATCTACATGAGAATTTCTGCTTAGCTGCATTTAGAAATATATGTTCATGGATCTATATTTTTTTCAAATGTCAGTATTTTGAATCAGGATCTATGTTAGGATATTTGTAAAATGCAAAGAAGATTGGGTAACGTCGTTGCATTTTACAAATATGCAAACTAACCATAGTCTTTTGCAATTCTATGCCTGTTTATTTCAAAGTCAGCTTCACTGAGTATTAGAACTTACTCCCAGGTAATTAGCGATAAAGTGGCAATTTTAACCTGCTTATCCATCTAGAAGGCATAGATCAAATGAGTTTCATCTCAGAAGTTTTAGAGACAATGGATGTGAAGCAATATAATTCAGCCAAAGATTCAGTTTGGTATGTGAATATTAGTTGTCCTGCTCCTAACACGTCTGTACTGTAGTCTGATACAATCTTATTTCTGCAATTTACGTAATTTGTAATCCTATCTACAAAACAGATCACATCTCATTTATTTGTTTTAAATTTGAAAACACTAAAATTGGTGTGACTGCGAACAAACTGAATTGAGATTAATTTTGCATCTCTGACAGTGTGAGATTGTTTAGTCAGCAAAAATAAGGAGAATATAAGACCACTGATTCTGTTTTCTCAAAGGCCCAGCCCCAAAAGAGGAACTATGTAGAAGGGAAAATGCTTGCTACCATATGCACAGCCTGTTACCACAAAAGATTTGAAAGAATAACTTGCTTATTTCTGTAGGTCCACTCAAATGTAGAAACTTGCATATTTTTAGAAACTACTCAGCTAGCTAAGGAATTGGAAAGATATCTCAGCCATAATGTTTGACTTTGATTAGAAACACATATGATCTAATTCTAATATTTGCCTAAAGGAGTTTCATGGAGAAGCAAAGTAGTACAGTTTTTTTCCACTCAGTGCCCTTCAGCTCAGTTGGACTTCAATTCCATCATCTTCCAGCTCTCCTCATCTCTATCAGCATGGTCATTCTTGGTGCTCCTATAAGGATATTACACTCATTGTATTTACATAAACTAAAATCAACTTTTAGAATGTTTCAAATTTAAGCTTTCTGTCTTTCTCTTAAAAGTACAACCTCCTTCCAGTTGAAGATGACTTCTGGTGACCACATGACGCATCTATATAGTTTCTTGGCAGTTGGCAGTAATATGGAAGTGGTTTGCTATTGCCTTCTTATGCAATATCTGTTCAGCTCTAAGTCTAGCCTATAGCCCTGGGATTTGTGGGTAGTCTCCAAGTACTAACCAGGGCTAGGATTTTCCAGTTTCAACCTCTGGATGAAAACAGTGAACACTGTTCTATATCTATCTATCTTATCTATCTATCTATCTATCTATCTATCTATCTATCTATCATCTATCTATCATCTCTCTCTCTCTCTCTCTCTCTAGCTAGGTAAACTTACAGTGCTGCTTTTGGTGCCTTTGAACATTGTCTTATGGTTATTACCATTATCTGTTTAATCACAGAGGCACCTGCCGCAGCTGACCTGGACATCCGATCAGCATTTCGACGGACGTGAGTGTTATCACAAATGTTTATACTAATTTGCTAATGCAGGAGACAACTCTGAAGAAAACAAAATGATTGCTAGGAATGTTTCCCTAGAACAAATAGATTAATCCCTTGAGGTCACTCTGTTTCGGAAATCCTGATCCAACAGTAATCAACTGTAGGTGGCAACACATAGGAATAATAATATATACAGTATGATAACCACTTACAAAGTTTCTAGAAAACTGATGTGTAATGCCAACAGAATGTCACTGGCTAAATCACCACCCCAGATGTGCACTCATAGCTTGAGCCAGTTTGGGAGCTGGCTGAAAGGAACACAGCACAAGGGACCATGTAATTAGCCCTGTTGCTGAAACTGAGGCACCCAGCCAAGGGATTCAAGTACAAGCCATGTATGTGCTCGTGTGTGTGCTGTACATACTAATCTAACAGCCAAGAGTATGGGTATGGTCCAAAACGTCAAAATCTTTTTCAAGTGGCAGTTATAACTTGAGCATGTCCATTGTTGACATTTAGAAAACATAATTTTAGAGTTAAACATTGGAATTAATACTTCTGGTAAACACTTCCTATCATGGTGGAGCTACAGAAGAAATGGAAAAAAATTGGGAAAATCACTTCCCCTGTTTACTGGAACTATCCTGATTTTCAGAAGCGGGAGGCAAGAAGCACAAATCACCCCAGATTTTCTATAGAGATTAAAAGATAACACAGTCCCTGTGTACAGGGTCAGAACTTGATCGACCTAGTTTTTAAAACAAGAGAAAGGAAGCTAGACATCAAGGTAAAGATACTTTTCAGTTGAAAGAAACTGTGTCTGTTTAAATCTTTTTTATCACTCTAATTCAGGAGCATGGCAGGAGGAGGGAAGCGGACAGCAGCCTTATCCAGGTAGCTAGTTTTATCCTAGTTTTATCACCCTCGATCGCCATTGTGAGCTATCACTCAAAAGGTGTTTTAAACAAAACTGAACTACAGCTACTAACTCAATGTGGACAAATATCAAATTCTTTCTGTGTGAGGCATTCTTGAGAGACAGATTCCTTTGTGGAATAAGAAAGTGCCTGGCAAATATTCTAGAAAAATCATAACTTTAAAAAGTGCATTGATGCTTCTCATTATTCACCTAAATATCCCTTAAATATGGATTGGCTTTATGAATCCAATATTTGCTGCTACTCCCATAGGAAGTCTGTCCTGCAGTTTGAGATGCATCTTAGCAATCCTGCTTTCCTTTCAAAGTAGCTTATTTTTATGAGCCTGTATTACAGTGTTGTCCAAACTTGGCCACTTTAAGATGAGTGGACTTCAACTTCCAGAATTCCCCAGCCAGCATGGCCAAGTTTGGACAACACTGCTGTATTAGCATGTACTGTGCTCACCCTGTCCCCAGTGGCTGCTATACTAATGAAGAATGCATACATTGGAAGTTTTGTCAGGTTCTCTAACTAGTTTTTGGGAACTGACGTAATGCTTATTCTTACTTTTGGCTAACTTCAGCATGAAGTTGCCATGCTAACTATTCTTAAGTGACAGACAGCAGGATACGTTTGTCTTTAGCTATTGCAGTGTTAGTGGTGTCTATTTTCTCTTTGATGCATCTTGCCATATGAACAGTCTACAATACAGTGTTTCTCAACCTCGGCAACTTTAAGACATGTGGACCAACTCCCAGAATTCCCCAGCCAGCCATGCTGGCTGGGGATTTTGGGGGGTTTAGTTCCCATGTTTTAAATTTTCCGAGGTTGAGAAACACTGTATTGTAGACTGTTCATATGGC